GGAAGTGATCTCGCTGTTTTCGGCCATGGTGAGGGGAAGAAGAGAACCGCCGAGGAGGAGAGGGTGTCGCCGGTGAGGAGAGCTGCCGTGGGGAGTCGGCGCTGGCGGCGAGAGAGAGAAGGCCGAACGAGAGAGAGAGAGAGGGGGTTTAGGGTTTTTTATTTTTAGGCTCCGATACCATGTAGAAAGGTTAATTTCATTGATCAAATATGTGGGAGTACATGTCTATATATACATAAGAGTTCCTAATCCTATACAAGGTAGGAGTCAATAATAGGAAACAATATATTCCTAATCCTATACAAGGTAGGAGACAATAATAGGAAACAATATATTTACATTAAATATAGAATATATTTAACATATAACAACAAGCAAATCCAGTAGAATCCCACAAAAGTGGGTTTGGGTAGAGTATGTGTATGAAGACCTTACCAATTACCCTTACTAGTTTCAACTGGATATATGTCATTTTATGCACCTTTTTTTAATGAACTTCAGGCCTATAAAATGACATATCCAGTTGAAACTGATGCAATGACAAATCAAAAACGACTTTCTCTTCTATAAACAAGAGGAATGATTCAAGGGACAATTACCTGTCTAAGACATATGCTTGTCCCACAAATAGCAGCTAGGGTCCAAGGAAAGCACCAACCATTACAGTGAAACATGGGCAACGTCCACAGGTATACGGCTCCCTCTGTCATGTTCCACACAATAGCATTACTAAGAGCCATAAGATACGCTCCTCGGTGGTGAAGCACGACTCCTTTAGGACTAGCAGTAGTTCCGGAAGTGTAGCCTAAAGCAATGCTATGCCATTCATCCTGAGGTGGCTTCCATTCATAGTTTGGGTCCCCGGATTCCAGGAACTTTTCATATTCAATTGCACCTTTCCCTATGGCATATTGAGCTGGCTTCGGATCACAGTTTGTGTCGGAGATGACAATCATAAGGGGAGTTGGGAAACTCCCCTTGGTGTTGTTTGATAGAATGCTTAGAGCCTCCTCTGCTAGGTTGTAGTAATCTTGGTCTACCATTATGACGGAAGCCAGGGAATGCCCTAACAAAAAGGCAATTGTTTCTGGGTTCAGACGAACATTGACCGTGTTCAGGACTGCCCCAGCCATTGGAATTCCAAAATGGGCCTCGTACAAGGCGGGGACATTTGGTGCAATCACTGCTACCTGACATGGACAAGAATAATGACTAAATTCTTCAGGTTCACTTGAATCAACCCAACTAAGGTGTTGTGACCAAAGCAGAAACATTTAAATTTCAGATCAGACAAGACATGATACTATATTTTGAAGAAAAAGATATTCAACAAGATCATTTCAGATCACAGGTCGGACGTCAGAAACATTCAAACCAAACAAGATCTTTTATAAAAATAAGATCACATCACATTTTTAGGCAAAGAGAACAAGTGCTGACTAGGTGGTTGGGATCCACTTTTGCAATCTCTAAAGTGCTTTTGATTTTCTGAATGTGTTTTGATTTTAAAAACCTTCTAAAGCCAGCTTGTCAAAAGCTAATCTGAACTGGAAATGACTTTTAGGTTTGAACCAGTTTCAGGGTTTCACTTATTTTTTCATTCTTTAAGATCATGCATGGGTTACATTCAATTAAAAAATTACTACAATCGAGTAATAAACATACTGCTGGTCAACCAGAATACAAACACACACACACAGTTAAATAAAATTTACTGGCCGAGAAGATGCTCATGATTACAAGGTATGGATTTTCAGAGCTTTATTAAGGTTAATGTGCATTTGATAAGATCCTGCAATGCCAACATTTTTGTCAAAACAATTAGCACATCTCTGCATCCAACTATAATGCAATAATAAACAGGCAGACAGCTTGGAGCATAAATTGAAGAAACAAGGTTCAGTTTAAGTGCCACTCCATCTCCATGGAATGGGTAATTGCACAAGCACATATCTCTACCAATTTTACATCTCAAATTTGAGCACATCTAAAACTAAAAACTAAGAAAAGAATAACGTGAAGACCCCAAAAAAAATAACCAAACCAAACAAACTAAGTAAATCCCACCTTATCTTTACTCCAAGAGTCCAAGGTGTATGTAAAGTACCTGTTTACGAGAGTACCCCCAACAAAATTGTAAATCACTTGCCGGTTTCCATTGGATTATTTTTTATTTTCTTGTATCATGGAAGTTAAGGGTAAAAAGACTTCAGCAGTTCTCTATTCGCATATAGACAATAAAACACTTTTCAGAAGTATTTCCGAATTTACAAAACTTTTCCTAATGAAATTCTAAATCTTGAATCTTCTCACCAAGTGATTCCTCACAATAAGTTCTTGGTTTCTAGAAATGCTCTACTAATGATAATACGAAAACTTGTTGCTTAATAAGTGTTGTAGTTTAAAAAGGCTCTAAGTGTTGTAGTTTAAAAAGGCTCTAAGTGTTGCATCTTGCTTCCTAGTTTTCTTCAAAGAATAGATCCACAAACTTTTAGATGAATGTGCTCCGTTATATACTTATATTGCACATATAAAATGATAAAAATAAGTATTGGCAGAACTCGACTCAACAAGAACTTTCAAGATGTAAGGTATTTATCATCCACATTCAATAGATGTGGTTTTCTAACTTTTTTCATCATCTCCGATGGAATAAAACAAAATGACTTATTAACCTATTTGCGCTTCTTTTATATTGAAGTAGCAGTTAGTCAATGCAACTTTCGACGCTAATCATGGTTCATCTTGGAACACCCGCTCAATATTTTAAACATAGGGAATCTAGCGGCGTACATCCGACTCTCCCTTATATACCCCGCAATGGGCGAAGCCTTTGAGACTCTAGGGACTAGGGTAATATTGTTTTTTGTATTCAACTCAAATGGCATAAATACAACATATATCAACAAAAGAACACAACAAATTTAGGAACTCGAACTAGCATCAAATTTTAATTTAAGAACATAATGAAAGATTTAATCTCTGATCTCGATTAGCAGCATCTTCTACTCCAATCTTAGCTCAGATTAATATAAGAGAAATTTACGTAAATAGCACTAAAACATAATGACTTTCCCTAAATAGCACTACATGTGTTTTTTTTCCAATGTAGCATTTTTAGTCATTATCCATTAGTCATTATTCAAGTAAATGTTTGCCACCACTAGTCATTATAGACATTATTAAGTGCTATTTAGGGAATAAAACAATTTAAGTGCTATTTAGAGAAATGACTTAAATTTTAGTGCTATTGAATGCAAATTTTTCTTAAGATAATCAACAAGCAGATTACTGAAATATGGACTAAAAGATCCAATCTAAAAATTTTACTCCTTCTGTCTCAAAATGTTTGCCACATTACACAAAAGGAAGTGCAATTTCAAAATTTTTCAATTCATTTTATATAAACATTGATATAGAAATAAAAATAAAAAATCGGGTGATTTTTGAATAGTGTACAACAAAGTTCATACAGTATAAAGCCTTAAAAGATCAACTTTATGTGTACTCCCAATCATTGAAATGAAAAAAAAAATAATACTCATTAAATAAGAGATAAATTGCTACAGAATACTGAACAACAATAATACCCAGCAGTAAAATATGAACATAAAAAAAATAACAAAAAATAAATGAATGAAATGAAATGATAAGGTGGTGCGGTGTACCGTGGTTCCGAAGGTGACGGAGCGTTTGACGAGGGCGGAGGCTAAACGGCGGCAGCGATGGTAAGTATGGAGCCACGTGTACTCAACGGAGCCGTGGACCAGCGATTTGCGGTTAGGGTGCACCGCCGCCGCCCTCTCCAGGAACCAGAGTGGCGTCAGCGCCGTGTAGTTGGCTCTGTTCTTCCGGAGATCGTCGATGTCTCTCTCCATCTCTCTCTGGTCTTTCTCTCTTTCTCAAGCGCCGATACTGTGAATTTTTGGAAGCTGAGATAGTGAGAGGTGCGAAATGAGACTTGAGATAGCCAGGGGACCCGCAGAGCAGATCACACGCACAGTACATACATACATACATAATTCATGTTGAGTTGAATTACTCCCAAATTTAATGTTACTAGTATTTTGTTGACTCTAAAAGTGGAATTACTCCCAAATTTAATGTAACTAGTAGTTTGTTGATTCTCAAATGTTTTACTTTGGTACTTAAATGATTTACACTAATTATTCAAAAGTCAAGCTAACTTGTGTTTATTTGTGTGCATTCATTGAATATTCGATGAAATAAAATATTTGATGACAATAAATCACCGAATATATCAATCGTGGGGTCGGTGAACTACGTGAGCTTAGGTGTGTAAAGTTTTAGAGAGAGAAAGAGAGAGTGCAAAGTAGGAATATTATTAGCTTGAAAACGGATCCTTTACAATGATAAGCTTTTGGCCTATTTATAGATTCAACAATACAACTAGATCAACCCATGTAACTAATACTTGTCGCCTAGTACATTGCACGTCACTTGATCCTCATAGTCTAGTCCTTTTCATCCGGTCGTTATCATTCGGTCTCTATCATCTGGTCGCTGTCCTCCCATCACTGCCATCTGGTCCGAGCCTAGAAGAAAGGAGCCCGAGGTCTGAGCCGAGCTCGTCCCTACTGAGCCGATGCCAAAGACCGAGCCTGTCCATTTCTGGGTCCCTTTTCCGAGCTTACCTGGACGTGGGGTCAAGCCTTTGGTCCAATATTAGGCGGACGCGCCATGGATGGGTTACAGCGTTTGGCATTTCCCAAGTGATGGGTGGCGACGTTTCGCCTTCCCAAGTTGCCTCATCATTACTCATCATTGCGCCGACCCAGGTTAATTTCTTCTGCCCATCACCCTCTAATATAAATATTACCCATGTGTTCTTCACTTCTCCTTCACGGAGTATTTGTCCAGTTTGACTTTTTTTAATCAATTGTTTTTAACATATGACCTATAATTAAATAAAATATATATTATACATTAATTAAATAAATAATATTTGGAAAATTCAATTTATATATTATCATTTTAATTTAACTTGGTGTCAAAGTTTACTAATTTTGACCAAAAAAAGTCAAAAATGGACATATACTCATAGACGGTGTAAGCATTAACTATATTTGTACATAAATAAATGATACCCCAGTGCATAATATAAAAAGTTGATATATTGAAAACTCGATCTTAAAATAAAATAATTATATTAAATTTACTCGGTATATTATACAACTTAACTGTTTTGATGTGCCAAATAAGTCTTCAAATATTACTAACGTTATTTGCAGGAAGAAATGAAACGTCAAACCTCATCTAACTTGATTAGCATCACCGAGATGTACTCCTACGGGTTCAGAAACATTTGTGTAAAGGTAGTGATATAACTAATGAAATACTTATGCCCTTTCACTCAAAATATTATTTCTAAAATGTCAAACAAATTCTTAGTTAGGGTTATTTTAAAAAAGAATGCAAAAATCAAGTTTTGGAAAATGTTTCAGGCCTCACGGTACCTGACTACCGTGTACACTGTACCCTGGTACCGTCGGAAGTCATGTTACCGTACCGTGGTAATCCTTACCACAGGTAGCACGGTACCCCTCTACCGTGGATACGGTACCTAAGTACCGTCGGTAGGCAACTGAACGAAAGAGGCTACCGTTTGGAGCTAGGTTCTGCCAGAGTCGCTGAAGTTTTTTGTACTGCACGGTACCTATTGGCGGTAAGCTGTACTGTGGTCACGGTACCACCCCTACCGTGAAGGGTACCGTGACCGTTGGCGGTTCCTGTAGCTGGTTTTTAAATCAAATTTAAATTACCCCAAATCACTTCACAACGATCCTAAACGTAAAAAACTCAATTTTAACCCTTCCAACTCCTATATACACCTCCTCTAAGTCTCATTTTTAATACTCGGTACAACAACTTTCATATTCAATCTAAAGCTTGTTTCTATATTCTTGAGTGTTCCTTAGCTTCAAGCTTTGTTCTTGTTTTTCTTACTCTTTTGAGTATAAAGCTTTCATTATTTTTACACACTCACACACAAGGGCATTTTTTATTCATTATTTTATATCTTTCCTATAGACTATTGTTATTGATTTTATACTTTGTTCTTCTCCTACCCAACTCATGTTGTTGATTATTTGGTAGAGAAGTGTTGGGAATAAACGCACACGGAAACAACACACAATCACGAATCAACTGCAGAAAAATAAACGACACAGGATTTAACGTGGTTCGGCTGCCAACTGCAACCTACGTCCACACGGGGCAACTAGGAGGATTTTATTATTTGTTGTTGCACCACAATTACAAGCACATTAGCATCTCTTAAATAGAGATTAGTTAGGGAGACAATGATTAAGCCGTAAGCTTCTAGATAGCTTCCTGCCAATTTCCTGTTAGCTTCCACCTAGCTTCCTGGCTTCACACTCAACAATCTCCCACTTGAAGCCACAGAACAATGTTCACCTGCGCTTCAACTGTGCACATGTACTTCTGTAATCTGATAACGGAACTCAAAATTCCACCACCTCTAGTTGCCACCAGCCTTCTTGATCATCGAGAAGACTCTGTTGAAACTCTCCTGAGTTTCAACCCATCAGTCATGACTTAAACTGCCCCTGACTCATCCTCGGTCCCTACCGGCTCCCACTGCACACACGCACTACCAGATCCTGGAACATCCTGAGAACAAACAATCTCCATACTGAGCAAGAAATTTTTGAGAGATGTTTCAACAGTTGGAATACTGGTTCTCCGGACCCAATGTCTTATAGGAACCTTGGCTGAAGCAAAACTTGTGCTCCCACTGCCACAGATACCTCTGACTGGCCTCATTGAACCTTTCCTCGCTCGTTCATCCTGAGTCTGACCTGTTGTAACGCCCCAAAAATAGGCCTATCAGAGTTAATTAATTTATAATTAATTAATTACTGAGAAGGACCCAAAAATAAGTAAATTCTAAAGTTTGTCAATAAATAATGAAAATCATATCATTATGTAGAGTTTGACTGTCTGACCCCAACGGTTCAATCAGATTTCAATTTGGAGAAAGTTGGACCAAAAAGTGTACCCCGACTGGAACCAAAATTGGTCCCAATCAGGGACTTGCGTTATCGGCCGTCTGCTCCACTGAGACGCCAAAACAGGAGAACAACATGTCATCCCATGTCTTCTTCCCCTTCCCTTCTTCTATATAATGGAAACAAAAACTTCACCATTTCTTCACCATTCTTCATCAAATTCATTCTGGGAGATAGCCTTGAGTGTGGAGAACGCGGTGGTGCTGTCAATTTGGTGTAAGGTCGCCGGAGTTGAGAGCTATCGTCACCGGAAGTTTCGTCGGAAAATCTTCAAAACACCCATTTAACTTCAAGGTAAGCCCGTAGATATATCTAAAGATTAGAATGTTCATATAGGTTGTTTTTACGTTCATAAATGGTCATTTGGTTGAGTTTTGTGTTGGACATGTTTGAAGAACCAAGAATCATAAACCTTGAATTTGATGTTAAAAATATGTTTTAATGATTCTAAAATGATCTATGAACCTTGGAGAACATTTCTATATA